TTGTGTAGTGAACGAGAACATAGATGGGGACAACGAAGTGTGTTTTAATACAATATTACAGAATATCTTGGTAAAATCTGAAAATCATACTACAGTAAATACTTCATTTGCAAAATATTCGCCAATTGTCTCAGACTTTGTTGTTTCTTAATTTCTGTTCTCGTTCTCTTCTCTTCGATTTTCCCAACCTTCTACCACCAGGTATTCCACATTCGATTGGTGATACATACTACTTAGATTTGTCGATATCAGTAGTACACCCTACACTTGTCAAAGGTATCTCAGTTTATTCATTATGACTTTATATTTGTAATATGTAATCACGTTAGTTAATAGTCATAATATTGGAATGCACTTCTGACTTCTCATCTGGAATGTTCTGATTGAAGAATTTAGAAATATTGTGATTCGAATGGTCTATTATTAAACATGTTAAGGATATAGTGGTCTTTTTTAATTTGTAACAGATAGGAAGGATTATATCGATAATTGTTGGGACGGTTTCCGAGAACTACGACAGAGCCTCCAGAGGTCCTAAAGGAGCCGAAGACTTTCCATTCAATCAGAATATGATGGAGCTTTCTAGAATATCAACGTGGCATGCTACTACTAGACAGTAGCATAACATACCTCTCTGCGGATTGGCTGAATTATAATGTTGATATAACAAATACCAATATCTATGAATATCCATGATTTTATGTACATTTTGATTCTTACCCAACAAGCACTACTTCAGCCTTCTGATTTGCGACTATGAGGTTCTATACGTTCGAATGTCATACTTGCGTACCATATTCTGAGTTAATCAAGTAGCAAACGTAACAACAATATTTTTAAAACAGTGACAAATTATCTTGTCTAACTTCAGTTGAAATTACTATAATATCCACAAAAACCCCTTCTGATATTAATCAACATATGCTCACTAGTGACTGGCTTCAAGAGATATTTCCTGGAGTTCTAGCGAGAAGCAGTGACCAGTGGAGTTCAACCGGGTCTGTTTTGAGATAGTAACTCATTTAAGACAATGGTAATATGTCGCTCAATTTTGTAGATTAGTTGAAGTTAGACATGAACACCATTGGATACTGGTCGCCTCAGTGGTCTAAAGGTTAAGCGTTCGCATACGATACTGATAGGTCCTGGGTTGGAATCTCGCGAGGCAGGATCGTGGATGCGCACTGCTGAGGAGTCCCACACTAGGACGAAACGGCTATCCTATGCTCCCAGGTTTTCCATGGTAGTCTAGCTTCAATTGACTCATAATTTCAACTATTGAAATGACTAAATTCTCCACAAAAAACCCCTTCTGATACAAAAATTTTTTTTGTTTTTTATCAATACTTCAAACTAGATCATTAACTTTGAAAAATTTGAACTTTTTATTGTTTGTATCCAGGTTACTTTTAATTAATTTTGGGTTGTTTTTTTTTTGGTGAATCACCATTATGGAATTTTTATTCAAAACGGAATAACTTTGTAGTATCCATGTAGATTTGAAGTGAACAAACAGAATGAATGAAAATAAAACGATGTTACATGTAGTCAATTGATCCATTGACTAACATCATCCACTATGATCAAATATTTTAAGTCTGTTACACTTGTAGATATGTATCATTCTTTCATTGGTTTCTTGCATTTACACAATATAAATGGATACGAAATTAAGAATATAGAAATTGTCAAGTGTCATTCATATCAAAGTTAAGTGTTTAGTAAGATATAGGAACTGAAGATAAGATAATCATCTTGAGATTTGGAATTTCCCATCTTTGGTGATTTGAAAGGTGGGATTCTGAGGTCCGCCATGTTTCTGCACAATTTGGGTGCATTGTTTCGCCGTCTGTCTGGATGTTGCTATAGTTGTTGTTGTTGTTTTAGTGTAAAATAATTTGATTTTTGTGTAGTGCTTTATTGTTAAGGTATAGTGATGAAAATTTAATTGGTATCTCCCACCTTGAAACATAGGCTACGAAGACCTAGACATGTTTTACAAAAGTCGCTTCAGCGGATTCTACATCGTGCACCGCGGACTGACGATGGAACCTGTTCGAGAAAGCGGAGACAAGGTCATTTTTGACACGGTGTCGAGGTATGTAAGAAAGGTGCATAGGATTTGCACATGTCAGTTCATCAGGAATCTTCAGTTGGGGTTTGAGAAACAGTACAACTCAGTGACTTGAGACGTAATCAGACATGTCTTATAACAAAAACTAACAGCAATCCTGATGTAGTTGTGTACGTATATTATAAGAGTGGTAGGAACTTCTTTAACTCAAAGGATTATTTCTGGTTGTTTTTTATAATGAACTACTTTTCCTATTATAATACACTACTCTCGTCCACTTATTTCTACTCATTTATAACTTTGACTCTTCATTATGTTATTATCTTGTTGCAGGACGTATATCTATCTACTTGGTTCCCAATTGTACCAATATTTGTGTTTAAATGAAATAAAATAGGAAATAGATACTCCGAAATGAAGGTATACTACTAAGATGATTGAAATATCTTTCAGAACTATGGTGACAAAACATAATCAATTTTATTATTTAGAAAGATTATCATGTGTAGTTGTGTGAATTTGTTCAAACCAACTGCTGAGATGGGTGGTGTCCGAAATCTGGTACTAATATACATTGTGCTATACGCTAATCCTCCTACTGACCATTTCAGCGAGAACACAATAGTGATGGAGAAAGTACATTGGGCTGCCGAATAAAATGCACAAATGCTCGTTCATATATATACCACTCTAGTCCTAACGAAATTAATTGATCTATTTCTCAGTCAATGAAATGCACTTGTCCTATAGGTCACTTCTTATTGCTATCGATTGATCTTCTCATTAGGCTACTTCTGGTTGTCTTTCCATATCACTAACCTTAATGTAAGAAATAGCATTCACTTTGGGAGGACCAACTTCCTATTTTTGAATGGGCTCAATAATATGACTGATGAAATCTAGTTGTTTCTGTCTACTGAAAGCCTTGATTAGGTGGAGCAATGCATATCGATTTCGGATTCGCAAGCACTAAACCATTACGAACAATACCAACGCATTACCATCAGTGCCTAATACGATAGTCATTGTTTCTAAGAGGTTGAATTAAACAATTTATTAATGTTACCGACTTGTTTAATCACATTTATTGACACTAACATGTGTGACTAATCAATAGAAAAATAACCCATGAGGTATTCGCACCTAGAAATAATGGCAGCTTCTTTTCGTTAGTGTCGAATTCTAGTTATATCTATATTTAACAGATTAACTGAAAGTACAGAAGTATAATCATGAACAGTAGTCATGATATGGTTGTGTGAAGCTATCGAACAACTTGTAGTCAGAGTTTGAAAAACCGCTTATTGTTGTTACAATCAGTAAGGAACGTATATTATAGATTGAGAGCAAAGGTGGCACGATGAATTCACCAAAAGATGACAAATGGTGTGTGCTGCATATTCGTTTGATAAATGAACAGAAAAAAAAATCGAAAAGCATATATGAAACCGAGATTGCCATTTTGGACTCATGTCAACGACACCGGTGAAGAACTCTGTCAGTGTTGGGATAGAGGCGATAATATCGCTTTCACTTTGCAGAAGATTCGTTCGAAATGGATGGTGGCAACCAGTGGAATCCAGGACGCACATTTCACTATATATGTGAGTTCTCAGCTGTAAGTACATGGATTCCAGAATTCATGTTGAATCTCTGACTAGAATCCAATATAGTTCGTTTCGATCGACATTGTATTAACCACCTAAACTACTCAGACCAGTTATCCGATAGTTTGTGAAACATGTCTGCTTAAAATACTTGTTAATCAATAGCGATTCTGAAGCAAGCCAAAGAGGATGCACACATAATACCTATCATACACCTGGGTTGGTTTACGGTTCATTCTGTCAAGCCCTTCAACTAATTTAACTGACAACCGTGGTGTAGACTAGTAAAAAATTGTATAACTTGTCATTATTATCATAAACATGATGAGCAACTAGGCTTGATCGCATGTTACAACCTACGCACAATAGCTCTCTCTCTCTCCAGACTAAATGTTAATTGCTTGAATCACTCGATTAATATATAAGCTTGGATCTTATTAGTTCATTCGACTTAGTATTGGTGTGGTCAGTTGTTCGTCTATTCGTTCGCATTAGTATTTGGAGTTACCTAATAACGGTTAACCAGAACGAGTGATATAGAAAGCCTAAGGAATTATCTCGTAGCTAAGCTATCACAAAGTGGACCGTAAGTTGCATTTGTTCAGATAAATTGAAGTTGTTATGATGAATAGCACTGCTTCTATGTAACTTAGATGTTTATCAGTGTCTTTTCTATTTATCATTTGAATGACAATATTAATATTTATTGAATAACTTTTGTCGTGTGGGATCAGTTGGTAGTCTGTAGCTATTGAAGATGAAATTTTCCTATATATGCTTCGAGATTCCTTCAGATACTAACCTCTGTATTGTCGGACTGTACGTGCTACTTTGATTAGTTGAGTAGTAGTAGTAGTAGTAGTAGGCAGACAGAATTGTAGTTGACTAGAATAGGTCTATCTATCATGTGAGTTAGTTTCTCAGAATAATACTTGTTTGGATATATGTGATTTGAATCAGTTTACAAGCGACATAAAATTGTGTGATAAATGATGATCAGAATAAATATGGTCAGCATGTTACAATTCATTGATCATTGGGTGGTGATCATTGTCATGTGTGTCGTCTCCTTACTATCGACCATGTTGCTATGTGGCCACCAGTCTAGGTGACTCGACACTGTGTGCACTATATATTGACATCAACATGTGGTAAGAGATAGAGAGAGATATGGAGAGAGAATATTGTAATTACAAATCAGAATTTACGTAATATGTAGAATAACATGAATTAAGTCAGACATAATAATAGAATTAGGGGGGTGGATATTAATTTACGTAATTACGTAATTTTTATTCCATTATTTCCCCTCTCTCTCTCTCTCACCCCGTGTTAACTATATTTATTCTGAACGTTAGTTATCACCCAATTTCATTTGGCTTATTAACTGATTCAAGTTAACAACTTCAAATTAGTCAGACCCAACAACAATTCTTAATTCACATAAGTAAGTTTATTTGTTGTCCTTAGAAATTCCGGTGTATGTTACATTGCAACACCTGTGTTGCAATGTATTTAGCATTTAGGAAACAGGTATGTGAATTCCTTCCTTAGAGAATTTTGTGGAAATAGTTGTGCTGAATTGTGTAGAATACATGAGTTGGTTAGTTGTTTAGCTGAAATATGTAAGACAACTAATAGTGTTTACAACCTCGGTTATTGTATTGGGAATAGAGCGAACAATGTAATATTTGTAATGTAAAAGATCCGGTCAATTGCGTGTTGATGATGCTCAGTATTAAATGACAAGTCAGCCCCTAAACAAATCGTGTGAGCTTGGTATGTGATTTGTGATAGATAACTAGTTTGTAATAGATGAGAGAGGTAATACTGGTTGCCAATTAGGGAGGTTGTTGGAATAGGATGTACCGAAAGATTTAGAAACTGTTGAATATACTGTTATACTGTAGCTGATTTCTACTTCAGTCTCGAGAGGAGAGTTATTGCTAATGGTTTTCAAAATTACTGAACGAGCTATGAGACATTGTGGTGTAAACTTGAGTAAGTTTATTTGACTATTAACTATTACCAAGTAATTTGTGTATAGAATTAACTTTAAAGTGTAATGATGGTGAAGCATTAGAATAAACACTTAGTTATCCGATAGTTAGTCACATATTTACCATGTTCGTAAAATATCTGTAGTTTAGGACTAGAATGGATCAATCGGTCTGTTACTGGCATATTTGAATTCTGTGAGGATTGCCTGAATATTGCAAGTCACAAGTATTGTTCTAAGCAGAAATGAGTAGTGGTAGTGGTGGTAGCTATCAGTGAAATACAGAACGTCGGTCAGGTTGTATTTGGGACTGGTCTGCTTGATGTCTATGTGCACTTCGTAACTGGAAGAAAATGGTGTTCGATCCAAACACTACTGCGTTGTCCACTTACCTACTGAGCGGAAACGCGATAAAGTTTGAAGTGGACGGTACAGGGTTGGAGTCCCAGAGTGGACGTCAACTTGGATGCAGATTCATCCAGCTAGGTAAACCTGAAGAGAACTAAACGCGCCCCTTGAGGTCCACTGCTAACCACTATTCATCTCTGTTTAGATTTAGAAATAATTTTGTCAATGTTTCTTATATCGCGCAATTCGCCATTGTTTTGAAATTGATCATGAAAATTCTGTACGATAAGATTTCGCTTATATTCAGCAATATAAGTAGATCATATTTTGTTTATGTGTATATGGGTAAGGTAGTTTTACTTCTTTCATTGTGGAATCCGTGTGAGGATGAACTCGTTATATGAGATGTGAAAGTAGAAAGTAAGACGGTGTATGGAAATATGGTACTATTAGAAGAGAAGAGTGTATAAACACTGAAGTAATCGAGCCGTTAATCATGAGATGTTTTGAATTGAATTGAATGACAAAAGTGGTAGTTGCATGGGAATTGGTTCCTTCAACAACTGAGTAGTGGATATACATCATGGTTTGGTTGGCATAGGCCTTTGTGAAATGGGATTATGAAGAATCATCAACAAGAGTAAGGGAAATAATATTTGCAGACTAATCCATTGGTTGGAAATCACTGGACTTCCAAAGAATGTTTAATACAAGGTAGACTAAGCGATGAGAAGATGATTAAATGCCACGTAAAATTGGGAAGAAAATGAAGTATTGAAAGCAGAGTATAATTGGATGTTTCTGTTCGAGAAAAGAACTGAACGGTGTAGAAAACAATCAGTCATGAGTTATATGTTTGTGGATACTCGAAACTACTGAATATTGAAAAGTAGTAGTATAGTGTAGCGTGCCAGAAATGTATTCACCGACGTCATACAATTGAATTGGTAAGTATATCATTCTCAAAAATGGAATTGTTTTGTTGCCTCTTAACCTCTATCATATATCATTGTCAATTAAGCATCGTATGAAATTGTTTTAAACTAATTCTGTTTACTACAAGGTCCAATCTACTGGTTTTATGTGATTCCATGTAATGGACTTCTGGACTGACTACCACCATATGTTAACCGTATTTAACTAGACAATGGTTGTAACAAATACCCGATTTGGAGAAGTTCAGTACTAAAAAGCATGATTATGTAACTAAACTGATTTCGTTTACATATGAGAATACTCAGAATGTATGTTCGATTTTCTTAGTGATTTGATGGCTACTGAAGGATTTAAACTGTACATAGAAATAAAATGATTGTAACATGGAATGGTGGAGTAGAATTACTATTATTATTATTATTGTTCCAAGTTTTTTAGTTGTGTTTTATTGACTGTGTTACATGGAGAAAGAAAACTGTAATAGTAAAGACGAGGTATCTTGTGATGTTTACACAAATCAAAGTTGGTTTCAGCTCATTCAATTTATTGTATTGTAAAAATCCTGATCACTGAATTATTTGTCAGAACGTTTTCAAGGAAAAATTGGCCTGGTCATCGAGGCAGTCAAAACGACAGTCGATAGTGTTTATCGCCTGTTCGTTCAATTCACTTGTAAGAAAAATATCGAAACGATAGCTGACTTACTGATAAACATCTTTATAGATCCCTAGAGCGCCAAATGGAGTCTTCTGAGCAACGACTCAACTGACCCCCATGCTCTATGAAAAAGTTAGTAAATGTGACCTGACCTGAACCGAAGTCAAGATGTGAAAGAAAAGACTGACCGGTTAGACATCACAAGTTACTCGGCTCAGAAGATGTGTGTCACGCTAAACGTAAACGTTTACGTGATCGGTATTTTGTTTGCCATCGTTTTTAAGGGTAGCAATTTTTTATGTGATAGGGTGAAATGAGAAAAATCCAGTCTGTGCGGAAATTGACTAGTATGATATTGATTATGTATTTGAACAGTTAAATTCACGACGAGGTGATATGAGCTAGATCAAAGGTGCTGGGTTGCATTTCGTAGTTCGGGATGAAGGATGCGCGCTGCTGAGGAGGAGTTGCATAGTAGGACGAAACGACCGTCTAGTGCTTCAGTGGTGGTTTTCTATGGTGATGATCTAGCTTAGATTGACTCCTGAATTCAATTGTTAAAATACTACAATCTCTACAGGTTCTCTTACTGATGATAATGATAAATCGATATTAATTATATACTTCTGCAAGTATGATTGTCAACTTGACTGACTGTATATAAACTATGGAAAACATTGTGTATGCATGCATATAAGATTTTGATTTATGTTGAGGGTGAAGTAAATCCTTATCACCCGTCAGTCGTCGTGTTTGCGGTTTTCGGTACCAAGTATAAGTCAATTAAGCATAGCCATAGACATAACAGTGACAGATGTAATAATTTCCATCTTGAATTCTTTTAATTACTAACTAATCAATTTTATCATACTGTAATGTAATGAGTATTGTAACTTTGGAAAATTTCTCAGTAGGTTTTCACTGTCGGTGGTGTTGGTTGCAGTAATGTGCGTTATAGTGTTAGTCATTATTTTTAGCCCATAATATATCATATTCTAGTTTCCGGACATTCCATTCTACTTGTTCTACTTGAGTCATGTTTTGACCTTGTTAATTATTCGCTTATCAGTAGTCTTGACTGTTTTTATATGAGCGTATATTTGTGTACACTTCATGTCCCATGACTCATCACATGTCTGTAGTTTATTTTGTCTGCCTATAAATATTGGGTAATGTCCGGCTTGAAATGGAGTTGGCTTCCCAGCCATCTTCCATACGTGTTATTTTTGCTTTGCTATGTTTCATTCGCTTCATGTACGAAATATATGTATTCACAAGTCAATTCTCGTTATTCGACTTATTTAATTCCGTTATTGGATAACGTGATTTAAGTCGACGATTACGTACGAGAATAGGCGATAACAAACATCCATACAATCATTCGTACGCTCTAAATGGAGTCAGATCAACGGGTCACAAAAGCGTCTACACGAAATGATGAACTTGATGTCAGAAGAGTAATGTGCAAAATGATTGGCAATTGATGGGCATTTTTTGCATTGATTGATAATGGTGTTACGATGGCACATAGTGGTGGATGCCTAGTGTTTGATGCCGATTTAACTTGATCCCTGAAAGACTCTGTCGTCGTCTCTCAACGCTATTGTACGGATGTTGTTGATGCAGATTGACGTGATGAATGATAACATGTGCAGATGTATATATTTTAAAATATATTGTTGTTCTGATGACTCGATATTTTTCGATTTGAACTGTGCTTAATTGTTTACACTGTCGCTAGATAGGTAGGTAGTTAGGTGGTTAGGTTTGGTAGTAGGGAGATAGATAAGCAGAAAGATCATTATTCGTTGTCTCTAGAGTCAAGTTCATCTCTCTTTTGATTCGCTTTCATTGTAGTTGCTTCAGAATTATTGATTGTATTTGGTTTATTTGGTAAGTAGTATTCTGCAAGTCACTTTAGTGACAAATTGTTTCATATCTAGTGTAGTAAAAGTAATAAAAGTAAGCCTATGAATAGAATAATAGTGGTTGGAGTTATTAAGGAAGATGAATCAGTTTAGGCAAAATAAAAGCTTAGCAAATGAATGGGTTTGGTTTATCACCTTATAGAATTGTTGTCGACCTAGTTATAGTTATTTACTGACGAGTTGTATTATAGGTAATAGGTTATCTACATCATATCTAGATGTGAATGTTTTCTTCTATCCTTACGTTTTTGTTATTGTTTTTAAAGATTCCCATACTCATATCGTCTTGTTTTATTCATCTTTTAGAAGAGATGGGTATCCGAGGGTTGTGGACGTATATAGAAAGCAGCGGTGGAAACTTATCCGTGTATGAATTGCATAATCAGCCTTTAGTTATTGATGCTGAGAACTTTGCTACCGCCTGTTATCGTGAAGCTGCTTTGCAATGTGAATTTGGTGGAGAGTATTTGGCATTTAAGAGTTATGTGCAGTCATTGTTAAAAGAGTTTAGTATCTGTGGTGTGGAGCCAATTTTCGTTTTCGGTGGATGTCATCCGAAAGAGGTATGGTGTGCTTACATTATCATAGTACTTTGTTTTTCTAACTAACTGTCTACATATTTTCGAGTTCACTTAAATGTTGAGGCATATGTGTAATATAGATTTTATCACTGTTGTAGGTAATATCGTAATTGATTGAAGCAGTCGGTGCATCTTAGAGTAGTTTATAATTGTGTATACGTTAAATGCCTAATAATTGATTTGATATACATAGTTCCCTTTATCATTTTGAAAAGGGGGAGGACTGAAAGATTCTAGCAGAATAACATGAATTCAGTTTATTTCATCTGGTACTCGTCAGCTGCTTACAACCGGTGATATTTCGGAATCATAATTACGTGATGAGTTTAATGGACTTACATGAGAGAGTTGGGTTGGATGGAAGTTATATTGAAGACAGATTAGTATAGTATAGTATAGCAAGGGTGTAAATAAATTGAATAGACTGAATACAAGTGATTACATAATGAGTAAATGCTGATGATTGGAATAAAGTGAGTAGAACTGAGGTGATATGAGAATAAGATTGTTAATTTGGAAGATAGTTGAAATACAAGTGAATGATGCAATAAATGCAAGAAAGAGTTAAACAATGATGATGATGATAATAATAATTATTATCGGATGCAGCGAAGGTATATTTGTGACCAAGGCAAGGCATGGAAAGATTAATAACCATCTCATTTTGAATTTGAATACATAAGTCAGGTTTTTGACGCATGTGATAACACTGGCTTGAGTTGAGCAAACTTGAGAATACTGGAATTTGGCTGTTTACTTACTAATCACCTTGAAGATTGCGAGGTATCGACCTGATATCCTGTATCAAGGAGATGTTTGGTGATTGCACTGTTTAAAGTGTTTCTTTCTCTTGTTGTGAGGATTTTCGTAACATGTTCGGAAAATCTGAAATATGCCCTCCTTTCTATTCGGCCAATGTAGAGGTGTTTTGGCAGGTAGATGTAAATCTATATACAGTTGGTCAATACTACAGTTGCCTAATGAATTAAACCATGAGAAAGTGTGTTTGAAGCGCTATGGTCTGCACATAGAATGTCCCCACTTTGCTAATGTTAATGTTGCAAAATGCCAACGATCATTTTGTTTGTGTATTCAGGCTTTTTCTTCAACAAGACACTAAACACTGTTTTACATTGAGACTCGAGTTATGACATCTACAAATGAAGATGTTGATGCAGTCAGTCACTTGTATATCTGGAAGTCTATTTCATTCATATGAGGATGATTTGTTTATTAAGTATTCAATTTAAGAATTTTCCCAGTTGAATTCAGAAGTCAATCTAAGCTAGACCACCACCACCATTGGAAACCACGACTGAAGCACTGGACGGTCGTTTGGTCCTATTATGTGACTGAGTCCTGAGCAGTGAGTGTAAACAATCAGCCAAATATTTAGTGTTATTGTAGTTTTTATACGTAGTGATAAACTTTTTAGCACCACTCGAGATATGATTTCATTATTGTCTTTCAGTTTATTGGTATATTTCTCAGAGTGATGGTCAGTTATTCACGATCGAATGTGATGAATGAAGAGACTCATAGCACCAAACATCTTTAGCCATATGTTTTTCAAGTTTGTCACATACAGTTACTCAGTTTGTGAATTAACTAATTATGTTTTTTCGCTTTGTTTAGGGAACAAAATTGGATACTTTGATGAAGCGGAACAAAGAGTACTTTAAACAACTCTCATCAGCTCTTCTGATTGCTAAGTCAACTTGCAGCACAGAGTTGAACATTGATATAGCTCCACGACTTAACAGAAATGTCCTGGTTGAAATTCTGCGTGAATCTTCAATTCGATACATAGCATGTGAACGTGAAGCTGATATCAGTACAGCAGAACTTGCTGTTCATCTTCAATGTCCTGTGACTAGTGGAGATTCTGATTTTTTTATTTATCGACCAAATGATAATAATCAAGCGTATCATTTTATTCCATTTTCAACTGTTTCACGTTATTCTAAGAAGAGATCCGTCCCTTGTTCTATTTGTAAACGGAGTGGTGCTCCATGTTATGTCATGTCGTGTTCAATTCTTAATAATTCAGGACCATTTTCTAAACTCAAGTATCCTATGTTACCACTTTTTGCCATCCTCGTTGGTAATGACATGATATCAAATATTCGCCTTCCAACTATCATCGATTCACTAATCCGTACTTCTAAATTACAGAGGAAGTCCTACTATCAACGACGTATCGATGCTATTTTTAACTGGCTGTTAAGTTTCCGTGACATAGAAGAACCATTGTCATTGGTGTTGTCACTTTATGAGGAAAACGAAAGGGATGGTATTGAAGAGACAATCCGTTTAGGGATTTCGGATTATGTTCTAAGTAGTTCAGGAGAAAACCTGGCTCGTGAATTAGGCTTTTCAACTGAACACAATATCTCATCAAGTGTTTCGTTGTCAAGCAAGATGGGGAATTTGAGCATTCAGGATCCCACAACTTATCGGGGTTCTTACTGTGAAGATGCTTCCAAATTTTCTAAACCTATATTCGAGAGAAATGATGAAGACAGTATGTTTCACCGTTGGCCGAAAGAATTGATTAGGCGATTTAGATTTCTGGACTTAATCCCATCCCTATTTGACCACATGTATGTACGAAATGGCGCTTTTTCTCGTTTACTAATGGAGGACATAAAGATTCCTAATTCGCTTAATGAATGTATGTCGAAGATGAGAAGTGCTATAAATGGACTTATATATGGACTTGAAAACCACTTGGGCACCAATGGAAAGTTATGTGGAATGGAGAATGAGTGTGTCATTGAGTATAGGAGAAACCTGAATGGTGATTTTACGAAGACTTTAATGTCGATGAAGCCTCTGAAACCCCCTAGTGCTGAAACACCTGGATTGTCGTTCTTATCTTTTTTCTCGAAATTGTTCAATGTGAATTTGGAGAAAGATTTTAAGCCTCTTGAAATACAAGGTTTGGGTATTTTATTAATTCTATGGTTCAGATGTTCATCTCATGCTCAAAACGAAGCTAAAAACATTAAGACATCGCCTGTTGCACTTGCGTTGTCATGTTGTACAATCGCAATGAATTCAAATCGTGAATTTCTCGGTAGAAATCGTGATGTTGATGGAGATTTCGCTAACTTTATTCGCACACATCTCGATAAGTGTGCTGATGTGGCCAAATCAAATTGTTGTCAAGAAGTAAATAAACGTTCCTTTTGTATTGAGCAAGTTCACCAACTTAATGAATTGCAAAGTATGGCCACTGGTTTAAAGCATTTAGTTGCAATGATTGAGGTGCTTTGTCCGTTTTATATGTCAAATAGTAATAAATTTGATAGTTGTTCACATTTTAGAAATCCTTTCATAAGCTTTTATCCATTTTGGATGTTATTTGCCAGTGGACGTCTTTTATATTGGATTAGTCGACTTCTACAAAATATTGATCCATCTGAACGTTTCCATAAAGTTATGAATGAGTGGCTTCCAAAATTGCTTATAAGGACCAATTCTGGACGTGAACAAGAAGGTTGCGCCTCAAAAGATCTTACCAAACTTTTCAACCTAATTGATAAGTTGAACTCTTGAGATCTACTTACTCATGGTTCGGTTTCTATTATTATCAACGCTAGTATTCGTTTTATTATTTCTGATAAACTGTCATTTTTAATTTATATAAACATACACACGTAACACATGGATGGTTTGTTGTCGAAACTTTAAACTCTCATGTCATACTTGCACATCGATTTTCCTAATAACTAGAATCATTCAAATATTTTAAATATACATTTCATCAATTCATGCTACGCCTTTATTTTTGTAAAAGTAGTAAAGATGTCAAGAACGAGAAAAGTCAGTTCCCAGTAAGACCTTCATATTCCATGAAAACTACTTCCCCAACTACTTGGATATAATAAATTGTTGACTATGGTGTAACTGGGCATGTTAACGCCAGCCACATTGTTAACAGTCGACATGTCTATGTATTTTGTGTTTATTACACTAGATGATTGTTTCGAAGTATTTACTGACGTTGTCTAGGTGGATGGGATGATGAATGTCTCACGACCAGACCATCGAATTCAGAGAGCACTACACCTCCGAATTGTTGATTCTGGGCAGGGCTAAAAGTACTCCGTATTACATTTGTTTCTAACTAGACTAAATGGATAGTGCAGAGTTATATGGATTTGGCTTGCTTAGGTAATTTATCTTGTATTTTTTGTTCGAGTTATGATAGATGAGATTATAGGTTGCGAGTTGTCTCGAGATGAAATCTGGCCCGAACTCCTCGTTTGGCTTTATATGGAGTATTCCACCACAGTTGTTTGTCCTACATGCATAATTATGCCGACGCTAGTTGAAAGGAAATCTCAGTAACAAGTAAGAAAGAGGATAGTGCTTTCCAACAACTTATGTCTTATAGGAAAAGTCTTATAGTCTGTCGCTTGGTAGGCAAAAGACTGATATCTTCCTCATGGTTTCGCGAAAACGGTTGCGCCGCTATGTCGGTTCGCTGTCTCTGCTAAATTAAGTGATACTAGGCGGGTACAACTTCCGTCGTCCGGTAATATGTTGTCGAAGAACACCGGCATGTGTCCGTAGATTTGGTGCTTGTTACAAACTCCAAATAAGAAAATGATCAAGATCGCAGTTAAACCCTATTCGCATCTTGTACTAGATAAGTCACTCCTAAAATCTGAGCGATAACATACTGGTATTTCCAGGTTCATACAGCATTATGTACATAACGAATGCATAACTTGAAAACCAGACATCTTGTTGTATGTAAACGATGTGGCGAAATTAAATGTAACGGAACCGTGAAGTTATTGCATATGCTTCCTGTGAAATCTTTTAAGTGCCTCTAAAAGAAGATATGGGTGGAGTTTCTAAGCTGCATTGCACTTGTCTGAAGTCACTACTGGACCCTGCTAGATTGTTTTGTCCTTCTTCACGATATCAGTGAGATGTCAACTCAGGCACATACATGAAAGATGCGAAGGCAACACATACCAAAATACTCTAGTCGTTGGGCTAATTTCATTTTCGGCATTTAGTTTCACTCTTAATGGGAGCAAATATTTGTACGGTGTCCTTGCTACAATACCACATGTGAACACGATTATTTCAGCACCCAGAGATGATAAAAAGCAGCTGTGATTTTGGTAAGCGAATGAAATACGGAGCTTAGTTACAAATAAATAAATAACAATACAGTCAGTCAGCTGGGACGTTGGACTAAGTACATTTATGCATCGGTCCGAGTTGTCACACTTCATCAGTACAAAAAGATGAACGCCAAATTCATAGTAATTACTTCCATGGTAGTAATATATAGAAGGGAGATCGCATATAAGGATATGGTACAGGAAGAATTAGTTCGTAGAAAGATATAAATCAATCTTTAATCTCACGGTTTAAGGGACGGTAGAGTGTATACACCGACGTCATTGTGATCGGTTTTGAGCCATGTCACCCAGTCTCCAACCATTGGTTACGATGCTCACGCGGACACTAACCAAGTTGTCTGCATCTACCAGCATGGCTCAGACTAAAAGTTAGTACAAACACTGATGCCACGTTTTGATTTAACCACTCCCAAATTTCTTCCATCTGTCACCCACACTAGTCAGCATTGTGCGTCGTGCTAATCAGTGTTCAGGTGTACATAACACGTGACCCAACCATCTCAGTCGATGAAGATATACAACCTCATTAGCTGACTCACCATCATTCCCTAATACCCTGCGTCTAACCTCACTATTACTTACCCGGTGGTCCCGGAAGATGCGAGCAATATTTCTAAGACACTTGTGATCAAATGCTAATAGCCTACGAGTATCTTCTACTCCTAATGACCACATTTCTCAGCCGTAAAGTAGAACAGAACGAACTGCCGAGCAGTATACTTGTCTCTTAATTGATATACAGATATCTCCTTCGCCATAGGTGACGTAAATTGGCAAAAGCCAAGCGAGGTTTTCGAATCCGTGCAGAGATTTCGTCAGACACCAACATATTTGGGCTGGTCAGACTCCCAAGATAAGTGAAGTTGTCAACGCGTTCGACTACTTCACTCACGATCCTTAGTTCAGGTGTTCACGCAGGCCAGTCCTGAAGCAACAAACTGCACTTGAAAGTGAAGAAACGCATTCCAAACATTCTGGCACCGTTGCTCAGTACTACCAAAAGACTGCATTTTGTCAGCGTCTTAACCGGACAGGACTATGCCACCTGCGTCCTGGTAGGAGATCGGTGCCCGAAAATGCAGTCGACGAGAGCGTGTCCCACCAGTATGTCTACGATGAAGTTAAATAAAAATGGAAAAAGTGGGCAGTCATGACGGACACCACTTAAGGTTGCAAAAACAGATGACAGTCAGCCATAAAGTCTCACTCGACTAGTGTTCGAATAAAGGGCCTTTATTATGTTAAAGTACTTCTGAGGTACGCCTTTCAATGACAGACACTACCACAGAAACTCGCGGTCTACGGAGTCAAATGCTGCTTTCAAGTCAAGAAAGACCACCATTGTCAGGCGCTGATAAGTATGCCAGTGTTTTAGAACTTAATGAATGGCGAATATTTGGTCGATGCAGTTGTGATCAATTCTAAAGCCAGCCTGATTTTCTCGTGTTTGCAATTCACGAGTCTTTGTTAGGCGTCCAATAATTATTGAGGCCAGTATTTTAGACACCATATCAGTCAAGCTAATCCCCCTATAGTTATCGCAGGACGATTTTGACCCAAAGTAACAATGTATGAATGGACTTAAGTGGTTTGTGACAATACAGAGAGCCAAACCTCAAGAGCAATATATTATTAGTTCATATGAACGCGTTCAATTTTATGTACAAACTTTCTAGAATTCACTTGTAGACCACAAACATGATATGCCACAAGAAAGAATTCAAGCTATGATACTTAGAATCATGTTGCTACCAATCACATGAGTATTGCCCTTTTGGGCAACCAAAAGACAGAACTTAGAGGTATTGACCAAGTAATCACCAGTTCCCAGCTTAGACATAATACAATGAAGTGTTTACAAATTTTATTTTACCAAGACAATAAGGCTATGTCTTCTTGGTTTTCGGGGCTGACTGTGCGGCAGGCTTCATGTTATGCATTAGTGCGCTAGCTCGACGCAGCGCCAGCTGAAAGAAACGGAACTTAGAGTATATATACGCTTACCATCTTTAGTTCTCTTCTGTATTTTTGCTTGCATGTCAAGTTCCTGATTTTTTTCAAAGTAGGCCTACGTCCGTGCACAAACTTTGTTCGTGTGACTGCTTTGGCTGGTTTATGGTCTTTTGCAACATTCTTTGTGATGACTACGACACCCTTCCCGTATTTCTCCTCCTTGATCCCGATAGCCTTCTTGTGAACAAGACCACAATACCTGAAGCAGTTTTTTCCCTTTAAGTTAAGTGGGTCACGACTAAAACGTTCGCGGCCACGTTTCATCAGGAAACAGTGGTTGTGTTTAATTAGATCCCAAACGAGGTGGCTTGACATGATTCTATGCAAATTTCCCGGATTCCCGCCAAAAACCTTTAAACACCGCGTGTACTTGTTTCACTAGACAATGCTTTAGTGACGTGCTTGTGTAATCCGCAGTTAGACAAAGTTTGACATTATCAGTTTACTTGCCATTTACTGTGCAATCATTCGGGAGAATATCTGTGGAGGTAATGTAAAGTGAAAGATTACTACGACATACATACAGGACAGTTTATGAGCAAGCAATGAATATAAGTATTTAGTGAGGGTTGACTAGTCTTCTGTTGAATAATTCTATCTAAAAATATATTTTGTCACCTTGGTTATAATTCTGCCTCTTAGTTCTAGAAACGAACTACCGTCGAGATCTGTCAAAAAGGATCCTCAATGAACATAATAACCCAGCTATACTTGTTAGTGAAGGCAGTCGATCTGCTGATACTATAAACATTAAACTTAATGCTTAGTTTACACCAATTGCTGAGAGTTTGATGCATTTACCAATGGAAGTTGACTGATTATGTGAATCACATAACAATATATTTTCACTGGTAAATCAGTCGACACAAGTAATAGCAATAGTATTTCATCAGATTTCCTGGAAGACGGTTTTTACGCTAACTTGCCCTTCATTTTTGACTGAAGCGGAATAATTGTGCCACTTAACAGCCGAGTTAACCTCTTGCCTGATGTCTTTATATTTGGGTCGTCATATTTTGTAATGGCTTCTAGCATCATTTTCTCTATAGACTCCCAGTAGTTCTCCACTGTTAGCTTCTATCACTCTCGTAGCCATTGATCCGGCTGAGTATATCCTGTCATTTTTGAGCATTTCTTCTTCTGTACCAAGGGCACTGAGAATTCTTGTCCCTCTAGAATATCTAGATTGGGCAATGCATAGAACAATCGTATCATGATCGTTTTAATATTATTATTATTTGTCCGTGTTTGAATGTATGAGAAAATCGCACCATTTGTCTTTGTAGAACTAATCAATCAACTACAATTGTAGTATGCTATCGTGGTTCTTTGGCAAGCATTAGAGGCATGTAAATGCTCCTGCGTAATTTGTCTGTTAAAACATCAACCACTCGTAAGTATAGAAAAAAAGTAACACAAAGGCACATTTGTAACTTGCTCACTTGTTTAAGCGAGACAAGATTATCTGTCGATCATAAATTCACCTAAACTCAGCCTGGAGCCCTTCTGAGGCTACTGCCGGTCCCGAGCCCGGATAAAGGAGGCGGGTTGGGCATGGAGTTAGCGACCTCACCCCGTAAAAAACTAACTTGCTCA